GAGGGATGGAGCCCGCGGGCAGCACCCTGTGCCCCGCAGCACCAGCAACGGGGGCCGGTGCCTCCCCTGAACCCCACGGGAAGCGCCGGGAGGGTGTGCAGGAGCCTCTGCCTGCGGCCGCCGCACTGAGCATCGCGGGGTCTGTCCGGAAAAGCAGCTTTGCCTCCGTGTGTTCAAGCCGGATATTGCAGGGATGGAGCGAGCCGGGCTCAGCCTCCGGCGTGCCAGGGGGCTGCCTGTGAATGGTGTGTGCTCCCTGGAGCGGGCTGTGCGCACACGTGTGTGCAAGCACGGCCGAGGATAGGACCAGGCACGGCAGCGGGCCAAGCGAAAAAAAAAAGTCTAGACCCCACTGGTGCTGGGACAACTGGGACCCTCAAGCCAGGGTGCTGCTTACCCAGGACCCCAGTCACCCTCAGTCCCACCAAGCCCCAGAGCCACCTTCTCCCTCATCCCATAGGTGAGTCTCTGGCACCATCGGCCCCTGGGCAAGGACGGGAGCTGTGAAGGCAGCCAACTGTGGAGAACTCACCATGCACAGGGAGGATCCATCCAAGCCCCTGTGTGTTGTGTCCCTCCTCCTGCTGACCACCCTCCAGGTCCTTCTGCAATACCTCCTCACATTGCATGCATGGAGCCCATCATGGAAGAGGATGGGGAACCCCCCAGTTAGCACAGCAGGTAACGAGAACAGGAGCATCACTGCAGGTGAAGAGCCAAGCAAACAGCAAAGGGCAGAAGGCCAGGAACAGCAGAAGTGGAGAACGAGCTGACCCCCGGCCCAGCTGGATCCAGCCAACCATCCCTCCTTCATACCCATGGGACAGCCAGCAAGGGATGCTCCGAGACGACATGCAGGAGGATGTCACTGTGTTCCCATAGCACAGGCAAGACAAGGGGAAACCTCTGAGAACACCCTAAAATGTAGCCTCGAAATCCTGCCCAGCTCAGAGCCAAAATGCCTGGAGCCAGGGGAGGACGGGCTGGGGCCAGGCTGCTGAGAGGCACAAGATCTGGAAAGCATCAGTTTGATTTAATGGACCTTGATGTTTGAAAATTAAGTCAAGAGAGCTCTTTTATTTGCCACAGGGCTGAGCACAGGCCGTACGTGAGCAGGATTTTGAGGGGGAAGAGCTTTCCAGATGAGCAGAGTGCAATCTTGTCCTAAGAATCCAAAATAATGCTAAAAATAAGAGGCAGGGGAGAACGGGAGCACGGAGCACAGCAGACAAATGTCCAGCTCCAGATCCTCTCAGCAGAGCTGGAATAGAATGCTTTAACTTACTGTATTGATTCGAGGCATTACAGCTCTTGAGCAAGAAGAAACTCATTCTTGCAGCAGGCTGATTCCATAAACACGCTGCATTCGCAGCCTCCAACAAGCTGAGTGGCTTTAATGAAAGGCTTGAAACACACGTCTGCATAGGGATTAGGGAGCGTTCCGAACTGGTGATGGCATCTCCGGGGATGCAGGCACATTGCCACAGTAACCCAGTGGGTTGGGGGTACCCGCAGAGGAGCCCACGGTGCTTCCCGGGACACCAGCATCCCAGGGGAACCAAGGAGGAACCCTGTGGCCATGCAGCACTGTGGCCCCCAGCGCAGCCAAAGGGCTCTCCAGCCCACTCTGCTTCTTGGATGTCCCAGTGTCACTCACCAGAGATGTGCAGGGTGCTGGAGGTGGCCTCAGGGCCCCAGGAGGTGACACGGGTTGTGCTGGGGATGGAGAAGCTGGAGCATCACAGGAGCATGGGATGGGTTTCCATGGTGGTTTTGACAGAGGATGCAGGCAGGGCAGGGCCAAGAGGAGGAAGGAAGGAGAAGCACAAGAGGCTCAGCCGAGGCTGTGACCTCCAGAGCCAGGACAGTCCTTCAGTGCCAAAACATGGCCACAGCCCCAACCTCCCCCAGAGCAAAGCAGGGCCGGGGCTCCCAGCTCCAGCTCTAGACTAGCACGTGTCCCACAGCACCCACCTCGGTGCTCCCAAGGGCCCGGCCTCGTGGCACCCATCCATCCCGCAGGAAAGCCCAGAGCCGGAGGCTCAGTTTAGAGTTGGGAAAATCAGGGGCAGAAGCAACCAGACCTTAACTCCCATCAGACATGGGGGTGAAGACAGAGCCAGGGACTGTTTTGTGCTGCTGTGAAGCTGGGTTTATTTGGCAGAGAAGCAAGCTCGGCTGTACCCCTTACAGGACTAGGTCCCGAGGTGGGATCCGGCTCCATGGGTGCCATGGGAAGGGTGAGTGTGACAGAGGTGGGGTGGCAGCACTTCAGGCTCTCACTCCTAAATGAAATGCCACGGCCTGTTCATGTGCAGGGTGCAGCAGCTC